TGGTACCTTCAGAGTGTTGTCGTATCTGCTGGTACTGCCACACTTTCCTGGTACCTTCACACAGTGTTGTGGTACCTGAAGGTACTGCCACACGTTCTTGGTACCTTCAAACAGTGTTGTGGTACCTGCAGGTATTGCCACACGTTCTTGGTACCTTCAGAGTGTTGTCGTATCTGCTGGTACTGGCACACTTTCCTGGTACCTTCACACAGTGTTGTGGTACCTGAAGGTACTGCCACACGTTCCTGGTACCTACATACAGTGTTGTGGTACCTGCAGGTATTGCCACACGTTCTTGGTACCTTCAGAGTGTTGTCGTATCTGCTGGTACTGCCACACTTTCCTGGTACCTTCACACAGTGTTGTGGTACCTGAAGGTACTGCCACACGTTCCTGGTACCTTCATACAGTGTTGTGGTACCTGCAGGTATTGCCACACATTCTTGGTACGTTCAGAGTGTTGTCGTATCTGCTGGTACTGCCACACGTTCCTGGTACCTTCACACAGTGTTGTGGTACCTGAAGGTACTGCCACACGTTCCTGGTACCTTCACACAGTGTTGTGGTACCTGAAGGTACTGCCACACGTTCACACAGTGTTACAGAAGGTACACTTCTACGTTCGTGAATCTGCTAGTCGTTAATGAATCCGAATCTTGTGTTTTCTGAGAAGATATGTATTCCTGGATCTTACAATATGTGTTATATTTATATATTTAATATGTGTGTAATAAATATGTGTGTCATGTATACACCTTCTATGTCCTAATAATATGTAGTGGGATGATGGACCATGAGGGAGAGACAATGGTGGAGAGACCATGGTTGAGGAACCATGAGGGAGAGACAATGGTGGAGAGATCATGGTTGAGGAACCATGGGGGAGAGACAATGGTGGAGAGACCATGGTTGAGGTACCATGAGGGAGAGAATGGTGGAGAGACCATGGTTGAGGAACCATGGGGGAGAGAATGGTGGAGAGACCATGGTTGAGGAACCATGAGGGAGAGACAATGGTGGAGAGACCATGGTTGAGGAACCATGGGGGAGAGACAATGGTGGAGAGACCATGGTTGAGGAACCATGGGGGAGGGACCATCAAGGAGGGACCATAATAAAAATGCCATGAGGGAGATATCATCAAGGAGAGACCATGGTTGAGGAACCATGGGGGAGGAATCATCAAGGAGGGACTTTGATACAGGAATCATGATTAAGAGACTATGGTAGAGGGAACATGATAAGGGAACCATGGTTGAAGGTCCATGATGGTGGGATCATTAGCAACCATGAGAGAGGACTCATGACAAAAGGATAATGGCTGAATCTATTCGCATCTCAAGTAAATCAAACTTCAGATCTACCTGAACATGAGTCCTGACCAGCAAAACATGAACACTCCTAAGGGTATTTTCACCCAGTTGAACCTAACAACACGAACAACAACTGGGATCAAATATATTTTGTCTTTATCGACACCTGCTGGGAAGATATCTTAAGTGACATGAATCCGAACCAGTGTCTTGAATAGATCAACTCTGTGCACGAACTGGAGATATGCTCAAGGTACATACCACTAAGAAAGAAGAAGAGAAAATGTAAACTAGAAAGAGACGCTCCGTCCATAGGCGAAGGTTAAGAATCACAGACCTTCAAAAAATGTTCCGGATTATTAGAAGTGAGGCAGGAAATACTGGCTAGAGAAATAGAAGATAATGAACAAAAGTTGCTGGAATCATTCAGAGTTCAGGAGAAACAGAGGTAGATAAAAATAATCAATTAACTTTAAAGAATTGCAAAATACTTTTTTCATATACCAAATCCAGGGAAAAAAAAAATCCAGTATCGAGCCCTTGCCTAAGCGAGACTAATGAAACATTGAATTCATATTCTGAATGAATCCTTCATGAAAGAGACTCAAATTTTGACATCTCCAAAATTTCCAACATAATCCTAACTCCAACTGACTTCGAAAAAGCCATTGACAACATGCCGATGCACTCTGCTCCTGGCCCAGACTCATGGAACGCCATGTTCATCAAGCACTGCAAGAAATCACTATTAATATTCTATGGAGAGGAAGCCTAAACACAGGGGTCATCCGAAAGTCAATAAAAATAACAGATATATCTCCACTCCACAAAGGCGGCAGCAAAGCAGTAGGAAAGAATTAGTCACATAACTCTAACCTCACATACTATTAAAATATTTGAAAGTGTTTTAAGAAGCAAGATCGCCAAGCACTTCGATACTCAACGATTACACATCCCAGGGCAGCATGGGTTCATGATATGGTCATGAATGGTCGCTCCTGCCTCTCATAACTAGTGGACCATTATGACATGGTGTTGAATGCACTGCAAGATAATCAGAACGCAGATATAACATACACAGACTATGCCAAAACTATCGGCAAGAGATTGATAAAGGAATAACTGGAAAAAAATGTATCTGGTTAAGAACAATAGGAACTATGACTCACGAAATCGTAATGACACGATTGCAAACAAATCATACCACGGGTGGGGATAGAACCCGCGGGTTCTATCCCCACCCGTGGTATGATTTGTTTGTAATACTCTATGATCGCGGGTTCTAGCTCCGCCCGTGGTATGGTTTGATAGGAACTATGTTAAGTTAGGCACAAGAATTTACAATTGGGTGTTAGTCACTTTACACCTACTGCCCCTGTTCACTTAGCAGTAAGCAGGTACCTGAGTGTTAGTCGACTGGTGTGGGTTGCATCCTGGGGGACAAGTTTAAAGGACCACAATGGAAATAAGACAGACAGTCCTCGATGACACACTGACTTCCTTGGGTTATCCTGGGTGGCTAACCCTCCCCTGTCTTAAAAAATGAAACAGATCTTAGCTTAATAATAATAATAATAATAATAATAATAATAATAATAATAATAATAATAATAATAATAATAATAATAATAATAATGAAAATAGTTTTATATTTTTTTATTTTTATTTATTAACACATTGGTCGTCTCCCACCAAGGCAGGGTGGCCCAAAAAAAAAAGAAAAACTTTCACCATCATTCACTCTATCACTGTCTTGCCAGAGACGCACTTACACTACAGTTATAAAACTGGAACATTAACACCCCTCCTTCAGAGTGCAGACACTGTACTTCCCATCTCCAGGACTCAAGTCCGGCCTGCCCGTATCCCTGAACCCCTTCATAAATGTTACCTTGCTTACACTCCAACAGCACGTCAAGTCCTATAAACCATTTGTCTCCATTCACTCCTCTCTAACACGGTCACGCACGGGTAAATAAAGACATTCGCCAAAATTAGCTTTTATTGTGGAATGTTTGTCTTGGGGTGCAAGTGTTTGTTCCATCCCCGGTGGTCATCACATGAAGGTGTGATGACTACCATGGTAAGTGTGATGACCTGCCAGACTCATATCATGACCACCACGACTAGTGTGATGACCTGCCAGACTCATGTGATGATCACCATGACTCGTATAATCTGTCCCATAAGCCCCATGACTCGCAAGTCATCACATGAGACTGTGAGGTCATCACCTGAGTGTAATCCAGTCATCACAAGACACTGTTACAGTGTCAGTCATCACACAACACCGCTACTAACAAAATAACATAATCAATATTTCCCACGTTATTAAAACATTTGCCAACATACTTCTCTGAACAATACATATGAACTATACATATATATATAATATATATAATAAATATATATATATATATATATATATATATATATATATATATATATATATATATATATGAACAAAAATCTCTGAATAAAATACATAAGTTTTCGCAATTCTTGTCATTAATTAATATCTAAATAATGTTAACACTGGAAACATGAAGGACCTGCCTAACATTCTTCTGTTATAATGAAAACATGACGAAACATGACAAAACATGACGAAACATGACAACAGAGGTTTATATATATATCCGGTGTGTTTTTCAGTGTATATACACCCGGTGTATGTTGCTCAGTGTATATACACTGAGGGTTTACTGCAGTATCTCTTAGTGAGCGTGGTTTAATTTGAGACGTTTTCAAATTAAGAAACCAATAAGCAATATGACTAAGTTGATACATCTTACTGAATTTATTATTACGAACTTAAATTGTTATTTTTATATAAGGGAGAATTAAGCTTCGATATTCATAATTTCCAGGTCAGATTCCTGTCTTCCAGTGCTGATTATTGTTTTCCAGCAGTCTGCAGCGTCTGTCTGTTCCAGCATCTGCAGTTGCGTGTCCCGAGTTGCAGTGTCTGTCTGTGTCCCAGCAGTCTGCTGTGTCTCCCTGTGTTCTAGCAGCCTGCAGCGTCTGTCTGTGTCCCAGCAGTCTGCAGTGTCTGCCTGTGTCCCAGCAGTCTGCAGTGTCTGTCTGTGTCCCAGCAGTCTGCTGTGTCTGCCTGTGTTCTAGCAGCCTGCAGCGTCTGTCTGTGTTCCAGCAGTCTGCAGTGTCTGTCTGTGTCCCAGCAGTCTGCAGTGTCTGCTGTTTCCAGCAGTCTGCAGTGTTGCTGTGTTCTACAGCCTGCAAAGTCTGTCTGTGTCCAGCGTCTGCAGTGTACTGATGTCAGTCCTAAATCTTGTTAAATCGATAAAATAATGAAATGTTGTTGGTTTTCTTATGTAATTGTCTTGACGGGTGACAGTGTAAACATTGTCAGGCCAAATGTAGTTATTGTAGTAAGATGTATGTCTGGGTGTGTATGTTGTAGGAGTGGGAGAGGCAACATCTTGTTGGAAAAGAATCTTGTTATTGGAGAGTCATCCTGTTGGAGAGACGAAATTTGTTGAGAGTAGACATCTTGTTGGAGAGGACATCTTGTTGGAAGAAAGACGTTTTATGGAGTGCCTGTTGAGAGACGAAATTTGTTAGAGAAGAACATTTTGTTGGAGAAACATCTTGTTAGGAGAGACAACATTTGTGGAGAGAGACCTTTTTTGGAGAGACGCATTTGTTTGGAGACAACTTTGTTGAGATTTAAACACTTGTTGGAGGTGACCTTTCTTTGGAGAGAGTCGTTGTTGGAGAGCCATGTGGTGGAGCATTCAGTTGGGATGACACGGGTGGAGGAAAGTCATGTTGAAGCAAGTGGACACACGATGACGGACGGGTGGGGGTCGCGAGGTGGGGGTCGTGAGGTGGGTCGTGAGGGTGGGGGTCGTGAGTGAGGGCGTGAGGGAGGAAGTCATGAGAGAGCTTGTGGGGGGAGTTGGGGAGGCTCTGGCTAGATGGGTAGGGGTGCATGAGAGGGGAGAATAAATAAGGGAGGTGGCGAGGGGTGTAGAGGGATAAGGAGGGTAGGGGAGAGGGGTGTAGGTTGGGGAGCAAGTGTGGGGAGGCAGACAGAGGCTGCTGCTGTTGCTGTCGCTGTCGCTGCTGTAGGGACCATTCCATGACGTCACCTGTACAAGAGAAACAGCTGTAGTGAACATATAAATAGTCTGTGTACTATAATGAATGGGGCCCCTGTGTACTTATTGTGTGGGCCCTGTGTACTTATTGTGTGGGCCCTGTGTACTTATTGTGTGGGCCCTGTGTACGTATTGTGTGGGCCCTGTGTACGTATTGTGTGGGCCCTGTGTACGTATTGTGTGAGCCCTGTGTACGTATTGTGTGGGCCATGTGTACGTATTGTGTGGGCCCTATGTACGTATTGTGTGGGCCCTGTGTACGTATTGTGTGGGCCCTGTGTACGTATTGTGTGGGAGTTTTGTGGGGGTTTTAAACAAATTGCATACACCAGCAGAGTACTGCTACACTATTCTATATAACAGTCACACAGTGGTAACACAAGCTAGCTGTGTGTCCCTGGCATATTCCGTCACACTGGATGATGCTCGTACATGGTGTTGAAATGTGTCAGTCTGAGCTGGGAGACTTCAGTAGTGTCAGTCTGAGCTGGGAGACTTCAGTAGTGTCAGTCTGAGGTTTCAAACTTCAGTAGTGTTAGGTAAGACACATATGCAACAGTTAGGTATCTTTATTTCGAACGTTTCGCCTACACAGTAGGCTTCTTCAGTCGAGTACAGAAAAGTTGATAGAAGCAGAAGATACTTGAAGACGATGTAATTAGTCAATCACCCTTAAAGTTTTGAGGTGGTCAGTCCCTCAGTCTGGAGAAGAGCATTGTTCCATAGTAGAAAACAATATGGAGATGAAGTGACAGGATGGAGCCTTATATAGCGCCAAGAGGTGAGATGTAGGTCACTAGAAGAGGTAAGAACTCAGATGTTGGGAGGTCAGGTCCCTCTCAAATCCAGCCGCTCTCACTAGTGGAGGTTGTCGAAGTTGATTGCAGGTCTGTACCAAGATACCCTTGTGTTGCAGTGTCTGACAGATTGAACAATCTGTCAGACACTACAACACAAAGAGGTGTCACACTTCAGTAGTGTCAGAATGAGGTGTCAGACTTCACTAGTATCAGCCTGAGGAGTCAGAATTCAGAAGTGTCAGCCTGAGGTGTCAGACTTCAGTAGTGTCAGCCTGAGGTGTCAGACTTCAGTAGTGTCAGCGAGAGGTGTCAGACTTCAGTAGTCTCACCCTGAGGTGTCAGACTTCAGTAGTGTCAGCCTAAGGTGTCAGACTTTAGTGTCAGCCTGAGGTGTCAGACTTCAGTAGTGTCAGCCTGAGGTGTCAGACTTCAGTAGTGCCAGCCTGAGGTGTCAGAATTCAGTAGTGTCAGCCTGAGGTGTCAGACTTCAGTAGTGTCAGCCTGAGGTGTCAGACTTCAGAAGTGTCAGCTGAGGTGTCAGACTTCAGTAGTGTTGGCCTGAGGTGTCAGACTTCAGTAGTATCAGCCTGAGGAGTCAGACTTCAGAAGTGTCAGCCTGAGGTGTCAGAATTCAGTAGTGTCAGCCTGAGGTGTCAGACTTCAGTAGTGTCAGCGAGAGGTGTCAGACTTCAGTAGTCTCACCCTGAGGTGTTAGACTTCAGTAGTGTCAGCCTAAGGTGTCAGACTTTAGTGTCAGCCTGAGGTGTCAGACTTCAGTAGTGTCAGCCTGAGGTGTCAGACTTCAGTAGTGCCAGCCTGAGGTGTCAGAATTCAGTAGTGTCAGCCTGAGGTGTTAGACTTCAGTAGTGTCAGCCTGAGGTGTCAGACTTCAGAAGTGCCAGCCTGAGGTGTCAGAATTCAGTAGTGTCAGCCTGAGGTGTCAGACTTCAGTAGTGTCAGCCTGAGGTGTCAGACTTCAGAAGTGTCAGCTGAGGTGTCAGACTTCAGTAGTGTTGGCCTGAGGTGTCAGACTTCAGTAGTGTCAACCTGAGGTGTCAGACTTCAGTAGTGTCAGCCAGAGGTGTCAGACTTCAATTGAGTCAGCCAGAGTTGTCAGACTTCAGTAGTGTCAGCCTAAGGTGTCAGACTTTAGTGTCAGCCTGAGGTGTAAGACTTCAGTAGTGTCAGCCTGAGGTGTCAAACTTCAGTAGTGTCAGCCTGGACGTCAGACTTCAGTAGTGTCAGCCTGAGGGGTCAGACTTCAGTGGGGTCAGCCTGAGGTGTCAGACTTTAGTAGTGTCAGCCTGAGGTGTCATACGTCAGTAGTGTCAGCCCGAGGCGTAAGACTTCAGTAATGTCAGCCTGATGTGTCAAACTTCAGTAGTGTCAGTCTAAGGTGTCAGACTTTAGTGTCAGCCTGAGGTGTCAGACTTCAGTAGTGTCAGCCTGAGGTGTCAGACTTCTGTAGTGCCAGCCTGAGGTGTCAGACTTCAGTAGTGTCAGCCTGAAGTGTCAGACTTCAGAAGTGTCAGCCTGAGGTGTCAGACTTCAGTAGTGTCAGCCTGAGGTGTCAGACTTCAGTAGTGTCAGCCTCAGGTGTCAGACTTCAGTAGTGTCAGCCTGTGGTGCCAGACTTCAGTAGTGTCAGCCTGAGGTCTCAGACTTCAATAGTGTCAGCCTGAGGTGTCAGACTTCAGTAGTGTCAGCCTGAGGTGTCAGACTTCAGTAGTGTCAGCCTGAAATGTCAGACTCCAGTAGTGTCAGCCTGAGGTGTCAGACTTCAGTAGTGTCAGCCAGAGATGTCAGACTTCAGTAGTGTCAGCCTAAGGTGTCAGACTTTAGTGTCAGCCTGAGGTGTCAGACATCAGTAGTGTCAGCCTGAGGTGTCAGACTTCAGTAGTGTCAGACTGAGGTGTCAGACTTCAGCAGTGTCAGCCTAAGGTGTCAGACTTTAGTTTCAGCCTGAGGTGTCAGACTTCAGTAGTGTCAGCCTGTGGTGTCAGGCTCCAATAGTGTCAGCCAGAGGTGTCAGACTTCAGTAGTGCCAGCATGAGGTGTCAGACTTCAGTAGTGTCAGGCTGATGTTTCAGACTTCAGTAGTGTCAGCTTGAGGTGTCAGACTTCAGTAGTATCAGCCTGAGGTGCCAGACTTCAGTAGTCTCAGCCTGAGGTGTCAGACTTCAGTAGTGTCAGCCTAAGGTGTCAGACTTTAGTGTCAGCCTGAGGCGTCAGACTTCAGGAGTGTCAGCCTGAGGTGTCAAACTTCAGTAGTTTCAGCCAGAGGTGTCAGACTTCAGTAATGTCAGCCAGAGGTGTCAGACTTCAGTAGTGTCAGCCTAAGGTGTCAGGCTTTAGCGTCAGCCTGATGTGTCAGACTTCAGTAGTGTCAGCCTGAGGTGTCAGTTTTCAGTAGTGTCTGCCTGAGGTGTCAGACTTCATTAGTGTCAGCCTGAGGTGTCAGGTTTCAGTAGTGTCAGCCTGAGGTGTCAGACTTCAGTAGTGTCAGCCTGAGGTGTCAGACTTCAGTAGTCTCAGCCTGAGGTGTCAGACTTCAGTAGTGTCAGCCTAAGGTGTCAGACTTTAGTGTCAGCCAGAGGTGTCATACTTCAGTAGTGTCAGCCTGATGTGTCAGACTTCAGTAGTGTCTGCTTGAGGTGTCAGACTTCAGTAGTGCCAACGAGAGGTGTCAGACTTCAGTAGTGTCGGGCTGATGTGTCAGACTTCAGTAGTGTCAGCCTGAGGTGTCAGACTTCAGTAGTGTCTGCCTGAGGTGCCAGACTTCAGTAGTGTCAGCCTGAGGTGTCAGATTTCAGTAGTATCAGCCTGATGTGTCAGACTTCAGTAGTGTAAGCCACAGGTGTCAGACTTCAGTAGCCTCAGACTGAGGTGTCAGATTTCAGTAGCGTCAGCCTAAGGTGTCAGACTTCAGTAGCGTCAGCCTAAGGTGTCAGACTTCAGTAGTGTCAGCCAGAGGTGTCAGACTTCAGTAGTGTCAGCCTGAGGTGTCAGTTTTCAGTAGTGTCAGCCTGAGGTGTCAGACGTCAGTAATGTCAGCCTGAGGCGTCAGACTTCAGTAGTGTCAGCTTGAGGTGTCAAACTTCAGTAGTGTCTGCCAGAGGTGTAAGACTTCAGTAATGTCAGCCAGAGGTGTCAGACTTCAGTAGTGTCAGTCTAAGGTGTCAGGCTTTAGTGTCAGCCTGATGTGTCAGACTTCAGTAGTGTCAGCGTGAGGTGTCAGATTTCAGTAGTGTCAGCCTGAGGTGTCAGCCTTCAATAGTGTCAGCCTGAGGTGTCAGATTTCAGTAGTGCCAGCCAGAGGTGTCAGACTTCAAAAGTGTCAGCCTGAGGTGCCAGACTTCAGTAGTGTCAGCCTAATGTGTCAAACTTTAGTGTCAACCTTAGGTGTCAGACTTCAGTAGTGTGAGCCTGAGCTGTCAGACGTCAGTAGTGTCAGCCTGAGGTGTCAGACTTCAGTAGCGACAGCTTGATGTGTCAGACTTCAGTAGTGTCAGCCTGAGGTGTCAGACTTCAGTAGTATCAGCCTGAGGTGCCGGACTTCAGTAGTGTCAGCCTGAGGTGTCAGACTTCAGTAGTGTCAGCCTGAGGTGTCAGACTTCAGTAGTATCAGCCTGAGGTGCCGGACTTCAGTAGTGTCAGCCTGAGGTGTCATACTTCAGTAGTGTCAGCCTAAGGTGTCAGAGTTTAGTGTCAGCCTGAGGCGTCAGTCTTCAGGAGTGTCAGCCTGAGGTGTCAAACTTCAGTAGTTTCAGCCAGAGGTGTCAGACTTCAGTAATGTCAGCCAGAGGTGTCAGACTTCAGTAGTGTCAGCCTAAGGTGTCAGGCTTTAGCGTCAGCCTGATGTGTCAGACTTCAGTAGTGTCAGCCTGAGGTGTCAGTTTTCAGTAGTGTCTGCCTGAGGTGTCAGACTTCAGTAGTGTCAGCCTGAGGTGTCAGATTTCAGTAGTGTCAGCCTGAGGTGTCAGACTTCAGTAGTGTCAGCCTGAGGTGTCAGACTTCAGTAGTCTCAGCCTGAGGTGTCAGACTTCAGTAGTGTCAGCCTAAGGTGTCAGACTTTAGTGTCAGCCAGAGGTGTCAGACTTCAGTAGTGTCAGCCTGATGTGTCAGACTTCAGTAGTGTCTGCTTGAGGTGTCAGACTTCAGTAGTGCCAACCAGAGGTGTCAGACTTCAGT